TCAGCCCTTGGAGAGAGACAGGGATATCTCAATCAGCTCCCTGGCAGCCCACACGGGCTTGATCCTGAGAGCTCCAAGGGTGCAGAGGAGATCGTGGGTCATCCTGCACACGCTGTGCTGCTGGTGCCGGTGAGCTCAGCAGAGCTGCAGCTTTCTGTGGATTAATAAAGGTGGAGAAACACAGCCATGGCATCCTTCAGATGTGTAGTGCCCTGAGCGTGCTAAGCAGACTGTGTCCTTCTTGGCCTGTCCCACAGGCAGTGGGATGCTTCCTCCTCACACTCCTGCCATCCCAAAATGCCCCATTTGGCCCCAATTTGCAGGCACAGGGCCCCAGATTTTGTGCAGAGGGTCTCAAATTGCATTCCTGGTACCCCAAAACATTCCTGTGGACCTTAAATTGTATCTGCAGAGCCCCACAGCATCCTTGGCAGACTCCAACTTCCATTCCATGTATTTCAAAATGCCCCACAGTGTCCTGGAGTGCAGCTGTGGGGCCCCAAATGGTCTCTGGCAGCCCCACCAGGTGTGGAATCAGGAGGAAATGCTCAGCCCTGAGAGGAGCTCAGCAGGTCCCAGAGCTCCCTGGGCAGTGCCAGGGGCTCGAAGCTGGAAATGAGTGAAGCACCCTGTTTTAAATGTGGCATCTCTTTGTTTTCCACCAAAACAAGCCTCATCCACACACTCTGGGGAGAGCCTCCAGCTCCCCAGCACACACCCTGAGCACTGAGCAGGTGAAGCCATCCTCAGGAAATGGGGGAAACAGCAGAGGGTTTGAAGAGAGGGAAGGGATGGGCAGCTGGGGGAAGAAGCAGCGTGCCCCTGCCCTGCTTCTGTTCAGAGGGGCACAACGCGTGCAGGCTGCGGGGTTTGGGGTCTTTTCACCAGTGCTGCTGTTACCAAAACCCACTGAAATTGTCAGGATTGACTCCCTCTAACCCTGTCTTAGAGTGTAAGGCATTGCTTTGTTTTTGGCCAGCAGGGATGGCTGACAAGTTCTGGCCTCTGCACTGATGCAAAGACAGAACTTTTTCACTTATTTGTACATTTTTAGCAAACAAACACATTAATGTTCATTGGTTCTAAGTCACATCATTCGCTTAATTAATTCGTATTCTATTGTCTCCCAGTTATTGATTTCTCACTCTTCATGCCACTTTGCAACACATTCTTTCATCCTTTTATCCTCTTTTTCTTGGATGGGGAGACTCCAACTTTCGAGGCCTTCTTCTCCTCCTCTGTATCTTCTTTTTGATTGTTTTCCCTTGCTGTGCCTCAGCTGTCCTGTAAGTAGTAGAGCTGTCATCCTTTGTCACTCAATATTAAATCTGACTTTAGCTCATACCCTTGCCAGTGATATTTTAAGTGATCTCAAATCTCTCCTTCACAGCACCCAGTTGAGGGGCAGCTGCTTGGGGGTGTCAGGGGACCCCTCTGCTCCTGGCTGGTCAGCTCAGGGGACCCTGGCCAGTCCCCAGCCCCGGGGACCTGCTCTGTCCCCGGTGTCCCTCTCCTGCAGAGCAGGATGGCCATCAAGTGGCTGCTGCTGGGACTGGCACAGGAGCTTTTTATCCCGGGCTGCTGCAGGAGAGCAGGCAAAATCCCATATATATATATAGATATATATCTATATATATAGATATATATCTCCTTGCATATATATATATATCCTTGCATATATCTATATCTATATCTATATATCTATGGGTGCAGAAAGTGTGTGTGTGTGTATATATATATATATAAAAATATTAAATAGTTATTATATATTATATAATATAGACTATATAATGTATATATTATATTTTTAATATATATAAAATTAGGGGAAAAATTAACAAATATTTGCTTGATATTACTAGTTTATTTCAGTGCCCTGTCCCATGTCTTTCTATTGGGATCTGTGCCTTGGTGCCCTGTTTGGTCAGTGAATCTTGTCTTTCCCCTCTGTTTGCCTCCAAGATGTTTTTCATTTTAATGGCACTTTAAAGTTGAGCCTTGTCCACCATGCCCTGCAAAGAACAGAAAGACTTGTGTAAAGCTCTTATGCTGGACAGGTTTATTCTCCTGAATATTTTCACCAGAACAATTTGATAAGTTTATTTTTTTTTCAAGTGTTACCCATTTTCCCAGCCACAAGCAGAACAGGAAGGAAGCTTCAAGAAGAGCTTAGGGCTGTTCCAAGGCAATCATTCCTCCAACAGCAGCCCACAAACACATCCCTCAGTGGCTTTGGAGCAGATGCTGGGCTGCTGCATGGAGCAGGCTGATGGCTGGCTGCCCTGGGGAAGGAGTATGCTGTGAGTATGCTGTTTGCACAGGGTAGTAACATTACCTACAAACCTTGTGTCCACCTTCAAGAGGAGGATTTGTTACTCCTGTTATGCCGCAGGTTACAGGGATGGAAGGTACAAGTTGCTGGCTGGAGTTTGGATTGCATGGACACAGGGAACTGCACAGAGCCTGGTGTAGCCCTCTGGACTGTGAAGCATTCAGTGAGTGCAGGGGGGAATGCAAGGCTGGGGAGGGGGGAAAAGGCTGCAAACCAGCAGCTGGAGGAAGGAAATCCATTTGTGGCATGAAAAAGGAACCGAGTTAAACTCCAGGCCCACTTGTGCTTATTTCAGAGGCAATCTTTTCTTGACATTAGTGGAGGGCAAACCAGCTCTGCTGGCCTGGGCTGGACCCCAACATCCATTTCTAAGGGTGACAGTGACTTGCAAGTAGCTGGTGTTCCTTTGGGATGGAGCTGCTGAGCAGGAAGGTGCTGGAGACTCCCTGAGCTGGGAGAGCCAAAGTGCTGAAGAGCTCTGGTTGCTGCACCTTCCTCCCACGGATCTGTCTAATCCCAGATGTGCTGAGAGTTTCTGGGCTGGCAGCTTGTCCTGCAGCAAAGGGCTGCAATCGTTTTAAGCACAGACCCGCATGATGGCTTTTGTGAACCCCACTTTCTTGTCCTGCAAGGACAGGGGAGGTGACATTCCTTGTTTCTCAGGGTCATTTACATCTTCATGGCCATCTCTTGCACATCTTTATTGTCTCCTGTGCCCCTGCTCCTGCAGCCCACATTTCCCACATTGCCCATTTCCCGGATTTGTGTATTTTTCAGATCTAGTTTATATTACTGGAATATGAGCTAATTGGATGTGGATGTGCTGTGGCTTTAGTTGTTCTGATCTGTGTTTACTTCTTAACACTTTCTGATTTCACTTTGATAGGGCAAGAGGAAATGGCCTCAAACTGTGCTAAGGGATGTTTAATTTGGATGTCTGGAAGAATTTAATCATTGAAAGCATTTCCAGGCTTTGGGAGGGGGTGGAGTCCCATCCCTGGAGGTGTCCAAGGAATTGCTCTGGGCTCAGTGACAAGGTGGGCATTGGGCACAGGCTGGACTCAATGACCCACATCTTTTCCAAGTGAAATGATTTTGGGATTCCATGATAACTGCAGGTAGCACTGAGCTACTTTTGGCACATGTGCCATAATCCTGATGTCTCTGTCTCGAAGAGTTGATCGTGAGTTCACTGCTGTGGTGGTCAGACACTGAGCTGATTGACCACACCTCCTCTATTCAGTTCCCTTAAGGCAAAACTCCCTTCCTGCTTGTGCCTTCACATCTTCACGTGGCAGGATAATGAATTTACTGCCATGTTAATAGAAGGAAAAGCCCCAGTAAAGACTACTCTATTTCTATGTCTATTTCTAAACAGGAATGAAAACGTGAAAGACTTCATTTGTCCCCCAATTTAGTTTGTACAGTCCCTGCTGGATAAGCATTCTTGGGGAATAACAAAGCTGTGAGTTGCCAGGGTTGTAGTGCCTGAAGTCATGTTTCTCTCTGAAACAGATATTTTCTGTATTGCACAACTGACAAGGCTTCAACTGCAAAATGTTAGCAGTAATGAGAAATATCTGTGATGCATCAATAAATGAGTGTTCTGTGGGACTGGCTTGTGGCCTGCCAGCATTTGGCTGTGCCTCATGGAAGAAAAACACGTCTAAAGAAAACTGAAAGTCAGTGTTGGAGGAAATGGTGTGAGTCCTCAGAGAGCACCAGTTACATCAAATGGAGTGGGAAAATTTAATAAAACTGTGCCAAAGGGAAGAGTCAGACTTTGGTATGAAAGAATCAGTTTGGAACAACTAGAATTTGTTTGGATAAATAGCTTCAATTCATCTTTGTGTTGGCTGGGAAAGAGAAGCTATGCTCAGATAAGGAAGTCCTTGCTTGCAAACCAAAAAAACCCCACTTTTGTTTCAGAAATTCTGTTGCTATCTGCAAGATCCTTTTACACCAGGAGTTGAAATGGCTCTGGAATGGAGACCTCAACAGCAGCGTGGTCCAGGTGGGAGGGCTGGGGGTGAGCACAGCAGAGAGGGAAACACAGAGCTGCAAAGGGAATTTCCTCTTGGTTTTATTGCTTTGCCTCAAGCAGTGGAACCAATGAGCCTTGCTGCAGAGTGCCTGTAGGGAACTGCACTGCAGAGAACTCACAAATGCCCTGCATTGTTGGGTGTTCCTCATCTGATTCCCATCTGCAACAGCCACCAAAGGCCTTGGGCTGCAGTGAGGTTAACACTTTCTATCTCCTCAGTGTGCAAGAAATAGAATAAAGTCACAGGCCTTCTCCTTTTGGAGAAGGAAAAAGGGGTCAAAATCTCCAGATTCCTGGTCCAATGCAATCTGTACAGTAGGGGAGCACAAGACAGGCCCAGTGATGTCAAGGTGTCAGATGTTGATAGCATTAAACCCCAAAGGTATGTTTAGCCTTTGGAACACACATGTGAAAAGTGAAACACTGGTTCTTCCTTTCCAGCTGCAAACATTAATCTTATCTCAGGCCAGTTTGGAAGCCCCCTGTGTCACAGAGTTCTCATTTGAGACAGGAAATAGATATCAATTCCCTGGTCTCTCATGCCAGCGCTGAAATAATTTCCTTCAAGAACAACATCTACATCACACATCAACCTTGTTATAAATGGCTGAATTAAGGACAGAACAGTTACATGCAAAGCCTGAGTCATACAAGGAAGAATACTGAAGGAGGTAACTTTCACTGTTGATTTCTTTTCCCTCTACCCTGACCATCTGTGTATATTTTTCTCTGGTTTTGCACAGGGAAGTAGACTGTAGCATGTGAACAGTCTGGTTCACCCTCATGAGATCTTGCAAACTTCTTCTCTGCTGTCTGTGGTGCTGTGATTGCCTTCTACTGCTCCTGCTTCATTTTGCAGGCTTTAATTCCCACTGGCAAGTTTGCTTGGTGCTGCTGAGCAGCACACTTGGCTTTTTGCTAGCCGGCAGTAGGACATCTGCAAGGGAGTAAGGGTGTAAAAACTCCTGGGTTTTGTGTTGGGAGAAATGGTTTAACAACTTCACACTGAGCTCCTGGGGGTATGGCTTTGGCTTCTGAGCTGTTGATGGGAGATCTGTAGTGCTGGGACTAGGACTGAATATCAGGAACAGCAGGATTAAAACTCTGTATGGGGGTCTTGAGCTGGTTTTCCTGGTTTGCTGTTTGAGCAATCTGCTCCCTAGATTGTACCAGATGTGTCTGGGAAAGGTGTCTCCTACCATGTTTTTGTGCCTTTTGGATTTTGTTATTCTCTGGGCAACCCCTGGATTTAAGTTCCTCAGAGGGCATATGAGCTTCCCCGAAACACCAGGGAACACGTCAGGTAAATCATTCATTGTCATTTGTGTTTCCAGTTGTGCTCTTTGCCTTAGGGCAATAACACAACTGCTTGTGTCTGCATCAGTAGACATGCTCTGCAATTCCTTTGGTTCTGTTTTGAGTCAGGAATGCCCAAATCCATGGAATCTGTATCCTAGAGATGGAAACATGAATGTGAACAAGTTGCTTGGCTTCTAGAAAGAAGGTGGCTGAGGAGGCAGTGAAGTACCTGTCAGGCACACTGACCTAGCAGTAGGTTGGAGCTCTTTGTAACTATCCTGGTGGCAGCTTTCCCCTCTGAATCCCAAAGCTGGTTTTGCATTAGCAGAGGATAAACTGGAATGCAGGAAGGGCTGGTTCCTCCAAATCCCACAGACTGACCACCTGGAAGTGGGATGTGCTGCTGGGTGATCTTGGCTTTTAGGCTTGCAGGCCTCTTGGGTGTTGCAGACTCAAAAAAGGACAAACAGCCATAAACAAATATACAAATTTCCCAGTCTACCAACCCTTCACTGTCCAATAAATGGTCCCAAGGGAACTTGTAACTGGTTATTTCCAGGGTCTGGACTGGAGGAATGGAATAAGACTGAAATATGTGGCCTGGGAGAGCTGGGAGAGCTGTTGCTGCTGTTCCTCTTCTGAGTCACGTTCTTTGCCTGACGAAAGACAAATGGGGAAAGCTTGACAGCTTAAAGCTGATTTTGCCCTTCTTGAGTATTTCCCCTTGCAAAAGGAAGACCCCATCCTGCTGCTGCAGGCAGCACTGTTTGCTTGGCCTGTGGCAGGGCAGGGGTGTGCAGAAAAGCAGTGAATTTTAGCTGGCAGAAGGTGAGTGAATCCCTTTGTGCTGGGGTTGAAAGGACTGCAGGCACTGTTTTCTCAGACCTGGAAATCTTTTGGTGAGATCCAGTCTCCTACAGAAGCCAGATGATGGGGTTTTCAAAACAACTAAATCTAAAGTTGGGTATCAGTCATTCAGAGCTGCCCCATCCTGTCCCACATTGTAGAGGCCTCTGCTTTGAAGAACTGAAAGGATTTGCTCATTGCTCTTTCTCCCAGACAGCTGCTTGTAATTCACTTCAAGCTGGAAGTGCTTTCGATTCTGGTCCCAAATGTGAAGCCCAACTTTCCCAGAGATTTAAAAATTACCTCTAGGCCATCTTTGTGTGAGACATCACTACATCAGCAGTTTTTATGAGCTGGGGCAGGTCATGGCAGCAACACACTTGTGTTTGGATCTTTCCTGTATTAGCTGGCTGGGGTTCAGCTTTGTTGTGGCTGCATCTATCACACACACCCAGTCAGGGGACAGTGGTAAAGCAAAGAGAACAACACATACTCTGCACTAAACTTTGTCTATGCAGCTCAGAATACAACAATAGATGAAGGAGGATGAGGCTGGTTGCAAATATTCCTCAGTAGTGACTTTTCCAAGGAATGCTCAAATTAGGCTATTGACTGTCACAGGCTATAAGAAAAAGTAAGATAGATTAAATTTTCCTCTTGTCAGAGCGAGCAGACTCATAGAGGTAGTAACAAGGCTGGGATTGGAAAAAAAGTCACAGAATTGAGTGGTCAGGGTGTGTTGGAAAGGGGTGAGTCAGGACGGCCAAGATACAGCCCCTGGTGCTGGGCACGAGGAGAGAGCTGTGTCCTCTCAATCAGATGATGTGGCAATGTCCCAGGCTGTAAATCTCCCCTGCAGCCATAAACTCAAAGATAAACTTGTGCTTATGTTGCAACAGAAAGCAAACACTGAGAAGAAAAACAACTGGAGTGCTTGAAGAGGAAGAGAAAATGAATTGTGTTTTTTTTTTTTCTGGAGCTCCTTGGCCCCAAGGGAGTCAGAGAGCTGGGCTGGGACCCCCCAGTGGTGCCATTTATCAGCAGCTTGGTGCCACCTCAGCCTGGCGTGGTGTCACTTCTGGTCCTGGCCTTGGACTTGTGATTTCCAATGAGCCCATGGGTAGGCTGCCTCTCTGTCTGTGTGTCTGTCCATGAGTCTGTCTGACTGCACTGCAGGATGGCTGCTTTGGGCTTCAGTGCATAAAGCCTTGTGGACTTGATGACTGTAGGGCAGATCTACAGGTAGGAGTAAATTATCCCAAAGGGCATTAGGCCACCTCTACACATCCCTGTGTCTCAGGACAAGATGGCCAGCAAATATAAAATTTCTTTAAGATGATTTTGAAAGAAGCTCTGTGTCTCCTTTTATGGGCTGCTCAGAGGACTCTTTTTAAAGTCTTGAGATCACACACACAGAATCACTGGGTTGAAAAAGACCTTCAAGATCACTGAGTCCAACCCAGCCCCAACACCTCAACTAAACCCTGGCACAGAGTGCCACATCCAATTTTTTTTAAAACACATCCAGGGATGGCAACTCCACCATCTCCCTGGCACTTTATCACCCTTTATAGATATAAAAAAATTCCTAATATCCCACCTGTATTTCCCTTGGCATAGTTTAAGTCTGTAGATGATTACTTAATGCATGACAAGGCATGCCATTGTGTTGTTATAAAGAAGTCAGAGTGCTGTCAGCTGGCGAGACTCTGCTGTCATGGGTTGGTTTAGGATGGGAATTTGGTGTCAGGCGGCACTGGGGACTGGTTGGGACTGGCACAACATGTTTGTTTGGATCATGACTCTGCTGTGAATCCACTGCCAGACTGTGCTGAGTGCCAGGGCAGGGCACTGGAGGGAAAAAACCTGCAGACCTGGGGCTTACATCACCTTGTGAGGGTCATTCCTGGTAATGATTACCCACTTCATGAGTTACCTTTGCCAATATTCAACTTCTCTAGAGATGTAGAAACCTCATCTGTATGCTGGAGGTGATACTTCTGAGCCAGGGCAGGGTAACAAGGGCAACAGGATAAGGGAAACAAGGGGTTTTGTTGTGGGTTTTGTTGTTGACTTGTTTGGTTTTGGCTGTGTTTGTTGTAGTGGTGGTTTGGGTTTTTCTTTGAGGAAATGTCACCAGTTTAATGTCCTGAGCCTGAAACATGAGAGTGAAATTATAGGCAAATGTCCCAGTTTTGGGGCATTTTTTTAACACACAGCTGCTGCCCTGAGCTGGGACTGTGAGAGCAAAGCCCAAATTCACTGGAGGGGCAGTGTGGGTGTGCAGCACAGTGATCAAATTGAAGGTTGATCAGTTCTGTACGATGTCTGCTAAATAAACCCCTGAAACTGAGTTTCCCTAAGGGTCAGCCTCCACGTCTTCCACGACAAGGGCACAGGTGCTGCAGTGCTTAACATAAACCAAGCACGTGAATCCTTCCAGAAACACTCAGAGCAAAATTTGCAAGCAGAAACTCCTTGTCTGGACTTTCTGGCTTGCAGATCATGTGATTAAAAAAAGGGACAAAGTGCAATAAATAGTGGTGTGGTGAAAGAGCAAACTGTGAACTGGGAGATAGCATTGCTGCTCTTAGATCCAGCTAAGTTTCTGCAGTTTCCAGCATTTCCTGCAAGTTCCAGCAGTTCCTTCAATTCCAACAGTTCCCTCAATTCCAGCAGTTCCTTCAATTCCAGTAGTTCCTGCACTCACAGCAGCACGGACTTACCTGGTTTCCATTGCTCTGCACACTCTAACCTGAATTTCTGAACCGAAAGTGAAAATGCAGTTTCTGGTGCCGTTGTTGCATTTAAAATGGGTGGAGCCAGTGAAATGGTTTTTTTTCTGAGATCCCATTGACTTCTGCATTTCCTCTGGAAGAGGAGCTGAATGAATTGGGATCTGAAAAGGCTGCACAGCACTTGGAGAAGGGAAGAGGCATGAAGGCTTCTTTGGACACAAACAGCTTCTGAGGTACTGTCTTCTTCTTTACAGGGTCCTGTCTTCTTCTTTAGAGGGTCCTGTCTTCCACCCAGTTCTCTTACAAATTCTTGCTTTCTTGTTTTGAAGTAGCCATTCAGAAAGAGGCACTGAAATATCTGTGGCCGGAGGGAAATTCTCAGTGTGCTGCACATTTTCTGCATAGGGAAGAACATTTATTGCTGGTGCTGATGAGCTTTGTGGCTAATTAACACCATATCTGTAGCCCAGAGTGGCAACTTCCAGAGAGCTCTGTGTGAACTCACACTGATTGTGGGAATGCAGAAACCCAACAGCTTCCTCTTGGTGCATTTATATAAACTCAGAAATAATAGAATAAATGTATTGACAGCATTTTCCTGTTCATGTAATTCCTGAATAATTTTCCCAAAACCATTAACCTTTTTTTTTTTTTCTCATATCTCCTTAGCATGTCTTGCTAATATCTTCTTTTCCAAAAGTTCCATACTGTCATGTTTGCAAATAAGGGAGAATTTGTCAGAAAGGTTGCAGGAGAAATCCCTGCAGTTCTTCTCCTTTTCAAGGAGCTGATTGTGCATTTTCCCAAGTCCAGCCTGACTAATGAACAATCCAGCCTGACAGCTCTGGGTTCAGAATGAAACAAAACAGAACGAAAATACAAAGCATTAGTGGTTTTAAAATAGAAGAAGTTAAACCCAGTGAAACACTTCATTCTACTTAATGTACTGCAGGCAGTAAAAAAGTGTTACCAATGTTATATAATGCTGTGGAAAATTTTTTTCCAAGCAGGGGGAGAAAAGCCAAAGTGTGCTTTACACTTAGGATTTTTGCAGAGATTTCTCAGCTCAACCTCAATGTCCTGCTGGTTGCTCTCTCTCCAATGGCTTGTTGGAGCTGTGGATACAAACTGCAGTAGTACACTCACTCAGGAAAGAGCTGCTTTATCTCCTCACATGATTTTTTTATTGTTTTCTTTATTTGTCTTTATTGCAAAGGCTTGTTGATAGTGGAATGCAACAGACCAGGGAGAGAAACATGATAAGGAAAGTGATACCAAAATTATATTATGTAAATACTTCTCCTTTTCTGGGAAATGACTTAGAGTACAAAATAAAATCTCCAGGATCTTCTGAAGTTCCTTGAGTTTTATTCTGTTGCTGCCTTACTTCCTTTAATAGTACTATTTTCTCCAAACTGACTGCAACTTAAGCCTTCCCCACAGGACCCTTAGGGAGCTAAATAAATATTTTAGAGATCGTGGTGTCTTGTTCCACCAAGCTGGTTCTGACCACAAAACCTACAGACTAAATTGCTCCTGAATCTCTAGAGCCGAGGGTATGTGACTGAAAGAGGGGTGAGAAAATGCAGAGTTTGCAGCTGGATTTTGTGTGTCCATGACTGTGCTTAATGGTTGTTTGGTTGTTTGGAGAGGGGATGTTAACCCTGTTAGGGGATGTTGACATGTGAACCCTGGGGAGCAGCTCTGCTCTGCTGGCTCCTGGGGGTGTTGGGGGGACTCTGCTTGGTCACTTTGGGATCCCCACTGAACTGTGCTAGAGGCAGAAAGCCTGAGGACGCACACTGGAGAGGCAGTGACCTGGTTTAACTTGTGCTGGAGTAGGAGGAAACGTGGATCAGAGTATTCCAAGTCGTCAGATTTTAACTTTGATAGAGAACCTTTGCTCTGCTGAAAGTGATGTTATTGCATTGGAGACTGAATTTTGTCCTTCTCGTGGCAAACACTGGAGTTATTTATTGTCTTGTGTTTGTTATGATGCTACAGGGAGAAGGAAAAGCCTGAGAGTTTCAGGTAGTGATGTTCCCTCAAATAGATCCTTTCAAAACCAAAACCCAAGGACGTTGTTAGGGCTCTGCAGATTTCCTGTAAAATCCTCTTTCTCCTGCTGGTGATCTCATGTGGGCTGGTTTGTGGGTCAGGTCTGCCCTGGGGGGAAGCTGGGTGTGAGTGCTGGTGTTTGCTGAAGGAACTCAAGCTCCTCCTGTTTGTTCCTTTATTCACCTACTGCTTGTTCCTGATCTGCTTTTAGGGTCTGGCTTTGCTTTGTTACAGCTCTGCAGAAAACTTCAGAAGCTCTGACAAGTGAAAGTTTGTATTACTTTGAAAAAGAAAGGGAAGCAAGCGGAAAAAAAAAAAAACTGGATGGAAAATATTTTGTCTGTCCAAAGAATGTGTTTCACTTTAGATTTGAGTGTTTTATTGAAGTAAGTTTAATTCTGATGGCAGGAGCTGGCCAAGACAGCTGGAGAGTCTCCAGATTTCAAGACATATCAGTTGCAGTGAACAGAGGTTTGGTGGATGGTGTTCTGGCTGCTGAAACTGAAGAGAAGAGGGGGAGAAGGAGGGAATGTCACCAGAGATAAGAGGAAGGGACACGTCCTTTGACCAGAATGAGGAGAGGGGCAAGAAGACCACACAAGAGAGGACCAAACAAATGAGGATACTGAAAACTCCTGGGAAAACACAAATCTTGACCTCTGGGCAAATAACTCTGCCAGATGTGCTGCAGCTGTTCTGTGCAGCAAACATGCCCTGGGGTATAAATCCTCTGGAGGCATCTAAAAGACAAGAAGATCTGGCACTTAGGGACTAAGTGGTGGATTTGGCAGTGCCATGTTAGCAGCTGGACTCAAGGGTCTTTTCCACACTTATGATTCTGTGATTTCAAGATTGATGTCAATCCCTTGGAACTCTGCTCATCTGCAGGGCAGGAGGGCCGGGCATTGTTAACTGTGCTTTGCAAATGAGGAAATGGGATAGAGGAATGTGTGAAATATGAATGATCAGAAAGAAAATAATTAAAAAGACAGGATGATTTTTTTAATGGGTGGGAAGAGGAAGATGAATGTTTTATGTATGGATTTTTTATGTAAGAGAAAATATTGTTGTTAATACGTGGTGGGGCCAGAGGAAATCCTTGCAGGACTGCCCAGGTGAGCAGGAGCTCTGTGCATGAAGTGCAAAGGTGGTGGTGGAGAGGATGGATCACTCCTTGGAGGGTGCAGTGCCAGGGCCCAGCTCTACCCAGAATTCCCTGGATTTGCATCCTGCTCAGGGCTATCGAGAGCCTGAGGTGTCCCGGGTTTTATTCCACAGGAAATTTTGCAGCTGGTCTCAAGGATGGGTCAGCACCTGCAGGAAGCTGGAAGGGCATGTCCTTGAGTTGTTTTTCTGCTGGTTCACCTGTTTCTGGGAGATGGGGTAGAACTCTCAGCAGGTCTAGATCAGCACAGACCAGGAGAGATAAGCATTTATTAACTTCTGTTGAATGTATAATTAGGAACTAGCATATAACTAATTTGGAAATTTCCTCTAGGTATTTCTCAGGTAGTGGCAGCAAAAAAGTTGTTTTAATGAAAGCTTTTGATGAAAAGCTCCCAGGAACAAAGCAGTTTGTGTTTTCCAGAGCTAGGCTGGTGAGGAAAGTTAGGTGAATTTTCTATATTTTTTTTCTTATTTGGCAAGTATTTCACTAAAACATACATCACAAAGTGGTAGCAGTTTTATTTAAATGAAAACTAACTTCTGACTAAATCCAAGGATGTTTTGAAAAGAAATACCAAGTTATTGTTTGTTTGTTCATTTGATGTGAACAGATATTTCCCATCAGATCTCCTAAATTAAAAATATAATTCGATTTGACAATAAATATTTCAGCTTAGGCCAAGTGAAACATTCAGTCAGCATAATCCATCTTCCTTAGTTGATCTTCTGGGGGGTTTTGAATAACTTGAGAAAACTTTGAAACTCAACTTTGGAAAATTTGACAGCAAATCAAGCTGTTATTTACTGTTCCTATGGAGGGGTGTGTGCAGGATCACTGCCTGGAGGAGGATGTGGACGTGGAGTCTCCTGCCCAGCAGGCTCGGGAGGGATTTCCCTCTCCCTGCAGAAGGACCTCGTGTCTCCTGCTGCTGTGCTTGAGCCAGAGGTGGAAAGGTCTGTGAGTCTCGCCCTTGTAGAGCTGTGTGAGCAGTGAGAGGGTTCCTCTGCCTTGCTCCCATCCCGTGACCTGGGCTGGAAGCTGCTGTCTGACATTTGGTCTGCGAGCTGTTATCTTTTTGTCTGGACAAAGACAACAGAGACACTGGGGGCTAAGCACTGCCTTTAATTCCCAACAGGGAGAAGACTGAGGGAGGAGCCTGCCCTGACACGGTGGAGGATCTGGGACAGAGCCCCCCAGGCAGCCCCATGGACTCTCCTCACCTCCTGCACTTGGGTTTCCTGCTCCTGGCTCTTGCTGCTCCCCATCCAAGTGAGTCCCTGTGTTTGACCTCAGTGCTTTCCCCTGCTCTTCCGTAGCTCAAAACCTCTGAACTCTTAGGATAAATTCAGCTGTGCCCAGCTAAAACCAAGACAACAAAACCTCTAAGGTGAGAAATTAAGGAGGTGAAGGTTGATGTGTTTGTCCTGTCACAATCTCTTCTTTTGGGAGGGGTGACTCTTTGGGTCTGTCTGATGTCAGATGAGATGAGTCCTCTCCCAAAGGACTGACTCTTTCCCAGGAGGGTCTGAGGGAGGAAACCTGGGACACTGCACCCAGAATGGGCAGAGTGGCAGCTCAGCTCTGAGCTTCAGTGGTCCTGGGATCTGGCAGTGTGTTGGGGGGACACGTGGTGGGATTGTGCCAAGGAGTTTGGGAAGGAAAGAGGACAAGAACAGAGGAGCTCAGCAAGAGAAACATCTTTCAACTCACCTCCCAAGCTGCCAGGTTCCCAGTTAAAAAAACAGTGGAAGTAGTGGGGGAATTCTATCATCTTTCTACCCCAAAAGTTATCCTGGGAACTGGCCCCAATACTGTGTAACATTTGCCTATTGGCAGACAATGTCTCCAAAGCCATGACTAAGCTTGTCCACCAAGACCCGTCTTAGACCAAGCTTAGACCGTTCTCTAACAGTAAACATCCAGGGAAAAAAACTGATGGAAAATTTTTTCTTTGTTTTTTTCTGATTTAGGTATTGCTGTGTCCAATGCTGGCCCTGCTAAGGGGACACAAGGCAGCACAACTATGACAGTCCACTACTGTAAGGACTGTAAAAGCTGCATGCACGAAGATGGGAGAATCAGTTTAGAAAACTTTAAAATAATCGGTGAAATACCAAACAAGACAAACACTATTCCAACAGTTGAGTTGGTGGCCAACAAATCACACGTCACTGTTTGCTTTCACCAAGCAAATTCCTCTCTTGAAGGAATTTATGGCATCTGGGTCAAAACTGCTCCATCAAAACTCTGGTGCGGCATCCTGAATTCTGGAGGTATGCTGTGCTGGGAACCTGGTTATTAACTGATGGAAAACATATTTCTGGGTAGGAAACTGAACTGTTCTCTTTGTGGGCAGACAGCAAGGCTTATGAGTGAATAAACTGGAATGATTGGGTTTCTCCTGTGAGAAAAAGTCATGAAGTAATTCACAAAAGTAAATTCAGTTCTTTCAGGTCAAACAATGCTCAAAAGTATACTAGGAGAAGTTCAGACAAACACGTTACTCTGATTTATAAAGATATGTTTTTATTTTAGGGGTTTTTTTGGCAACAGCAATTCCCATGGTGAAATAATGTGCCACATTGCAATGTGTGAATCCCACCTGCTTCAGCCAGAACACACCCAGGTCCAGCCTCAAAAGCTGCTCTGTGCTGCTCTTCTGTCCAATTCAATAAGCACCCAGGAACATCTTTCCAGCTTCCTCACAAAACTGCCAAAATCAGGAATTCAAATACCTGTCAGTACAAGGAGCAAGTGGCTCCATGAGGGCAAAACTTCATGGTGGCTCAGTCTGCAGGGCTTTTATTTATTTAGCTTAATCTAATAGACTTTTATTTAGGCTAGTCATTCCTCCTGTATTTAATTTCTGGCCACCATTAAACCATTTCTCTCCTGTATTTATGCTCACCATTGCAAAATATCTGCATGCTGTCACTACTGTGTAAAACTTTGGTGACACTGAAACATTCACAGTGAAATCTGGAAATTGCTGTAGACAGGGATCCCTGTATCCCCTCAGAGGGGAAGGGGTGGCTGTGTAGGTGAAGGCAGAAGGGAGTTTTCCAGATTCTCTTTGAAGAAGAATAAGCTCTACAATGGCACAATGGGGTGCAGGGTTGGTAGGAGATGCACTCCAGGGTCTTAGAGATTTACTCAGCTACTACTAGAGATTTACAACAAGCTACTTGCTTGTTCCTCTTCTTTGGTTCCTGTGTGTAAAAAGCAGCTTGAAAATTTTTTAGTAGCTTTTTATTGCATAAAGGTAATGATAAGCTTTTTACAGATGTTTTGTTATTAACTGCATGTGAAAACTTTCTTGCCTTCTTCAAGTATTTTCATTCTTGATTCCCAGAACAACTCATCAGCTTTGGTGAGAAGGAAATCTAATGATAGTGGTTGATTTGGACTGTTAGGGAATGAAACATCTCCAACTCGTAGCAATCATAGCAATCTCCAACATTTCGTGCAACATGATCCACTTTTTAAATCTACTAACCTCTTCAGCATCTTTAGCCCTTCACTGAAGATCTTCTACATGATCCATATTTATAATCAAAACTTTTTTTACCTTTCATTATCTCAGAAAATGGAGGAGATAACATCAATACTGAGGACAAGAATGTTTGCTGTGAAGCAGAGGCAATTGCCTGGCAACACAACCCTAACCTGAAGTGCTACATTCAAAAGTCAAGTCCAAAACACATCACACTGCCAGTTGCCGTTCCTGGTGAGGGAATTCTAGATTAATCTCTTCTTGTGTTTGCCTTTTGCTTTGAGAGGGGTTTGTCCAGACAGTTTGATGTGAACAGAGTTTTACATGGGCAGGGAGATGTCCTTGTCACATTCATAATTAAAATCCACACATGCTGCAGCCAACCAGTCTCAGAACTTTTCCTTAGCAAATAGACAGAGATGGACACAGGCTCAGGTTCCTGTAATTACATAGTGGCAGACACACGGATGCTGAGGGAAGGGGGTACATGATGGATGTGCAACAAGTTCCCAAGAATTGACCTTAGCTGTAAGTGCTAAATGAGACTTTGCCTCCAGACTAAGAGGACATTTGTCAACTGAAGGTGACATTTATATAGTCAAATTTCTTTCGTAGTAGAAACCCCTGTCATCTTCCTTAGGTCATGGACAAAAAGGTTTTTAAAAACCAGTCAAAGTGGATTTCCTTATTTGAATACTTCATCAAGGATGGGTCTCACCACTTGTTGTTGGTTATTTCAGATAAGATTGATGTTCAAAGGTATCTGTTGTGGTGGGGTGACAAGAATTTGCTTTGAATGTTGATAAAGTGAGCATTATACCAGGTACCTTCTGTAAAATATGATGAGCCAAAGGCGCTTTGATCTCTCATTCATCAGTTCCTTCTCTATCAGATGGGGCCAGTTCCTTTGTGTGGTGCTTACGAGGCAGCTCATGGCTTAGCACTCCTGCTTGCTTCACTTGGATGCTCTGTTTTCTTCTACTCTGCAGGTAATCCTGAATTTCTCACCAGCAAAGAGAACAGCCATCTTGTTGGCATCTTGTTGGCATTCCTGTTTGTTGGGCTTTGCGCAGGATGGGGCACCATGTTTTACTTCTTGCGGCTGCGGCGTCGCCAAGGTACAGTCTGCGAATTGTGTGTTGCCTGGAAGTGGGAAAAGCATAAAGGGTTTTCCTCCTGGATCTCATCTCCATTGTGTTGTTCCTGCAGTTCTTAATGATGCTCACTGGGCTGACAGCTGGGATGAACTCTCCTCCTGTAGCTGCCGTGACAGTGCCCATCCGGTGGCTTTGTTGTGAAAAATAAGCACAGGAGGAATCTCCTCACTGCTTCCTCCTGAAACAAGAGGGAAGCACTGTCAGGGCCAAGGAATCACAGGGCTCAGCCTTCCCTCCATGGGATCCTGCTCCTTCGAGCAGTCCCAGGCTGCAGCATTGCTGTGCAGCTTCCCTGGCAGGGATGTGCCTCAGCCAGGACATCCAGGCATGGGCTGACAGGGCCTTCAGGAGAGTGGTTCCCTCTCCCAGCCCTGCCCACTTCAGAGCCAGCTGTAATTTAAGAATGACTAATTCCCTAAGTTAATCCAAGAGGGAAGTTTGTTTTGCAAACCAATATGAAAGGAGAGAGGTGGCAAGGGCTCTGTGGAGACTTCTACAGACACCCTTTGAACCTGCCATATGGCTTTCCCCCTCCATCCTGTGTCCACTTGGCTCCAGGGTTTTTGGCTCCTGAGGCTGAGCCTCCTCTCAGTTTCTGAGCTAGTCCATCCCCTGATGTTGGTTGTTTCTTTCTGAGAGCCAAAGGATTAAATTTCCAAGTCTGAATTTGTTTCAGGAAGAGTTGCACAAGTGCTTGCACAGCCCAGCAAAGGCAGCACAAAACCAGTCTCACTGTTGTTACATCAATAGATTAATGGGTATATTGGTGTGATGACTCAGGTCTGTCCTAGAGCCCCTCTAAGGCAGAAGTTGAGGGGTCACTGCACCAGGGCAGGGTCACAGCAGAGCCTTGAAGCTGCCCCCTTTGTGGAGCAAGGGGTGGCCCAGTAGTAGATGGGAGAAGGGAGGTGCCTGGAGGACTTCACAAATACAGGCATTTTGTTTATAATTCTAACTGGAATCTACCAATTTCTTTGGTGGCCTCACGGATTTTTTTTTTTTCAATTCTGCAGCTTCTAGACAAGACAGACAGACTTCTGACAGAGAAAAGCTCACACATCCTTGATAACCATCTACAAGGGAGAAAACCCCTCTGCCAGCAGCATCCTCCTCCTCTCTCATGATGTACAGCAATCAGCTGAACACAGACTGATTTTCCATGGGAACTCCTGCCCTTGTATTCCCAAATAGTCCAGTTTTCACAAAAGTACCTTCACCACATCCACACCTTCCCCTGACTCTTGTCCAGCTCCAGGCCTTTGTGAGCAGCACAGGCAACACCAGGAGCCCCCATCCTCTCCTTGGCTTGCCTGCAGACAGCAGGCACCCCAGGGTGTGTGGCTGACTCAGCAGCACTGAAACCAGCTGAATTCTCTCTGTGACAAAGAGGGAACAGCTCTGAAATGCTTCCCATGCCCTCTGCCTGGCTTTCACTTGGTAATGCCACAGCAGCACCCAGGTGTCTGCATTGTTTGAATTCTCAGGTCATCTCTGCATCCACCAAAGCCTTTTGCACCACAAGCTGGCTGGTAGGTTGAACTGGAAGAGTTTGGAAGAGATATTTGATTTTGCCCCCACGTGCAGGCTGAGGACATCTCTGAGTGTTTGCTGCAGTGCAGGGGTGGGTGGGAGGCTGTGTCCAGCTCCCTCAGGAATGGCATTGGGTCACAGAGACCTTGTTCTCCCCAGGCTGAGCAGAACTCTGGTATCAATCCTCCTGACACATGAGTCAAGCTTAGACAGCGTGAGATGAGTACAACCCCTCAAGAATCCCATTGGGTACTTGGTATCCTTAAATCATTCCCCATTCCCACCTGATTTGAATAAATCCTCAGCTTTTGCATTGGATCTAATTTACTATCAGGACTGTTGAGCAAAAATCACTGGCAGCACAAGGGGAGAAGCAAATCCCTAAAGCAATGTGAATGCTTGTTGAATCACTGTTCTTTTGTCACACAGCTAAACACAAGCACACACACAGTTCTTGGTTCATTTCTGCTTTGATTGGCTGGATTTTGTTTGTTGCTTGTTTTTTCCTCAATGTGTCTTAACCATCCAGTCAGTAGCAGAGTGAACCTTGCCAACAAACTGTCTCGTGCTGATGCTCAATATCAAATCTGGATTTTACTGATGCTCTTGGTGGTAATGTTTTAAGAGATCTCCAACACTTTGAACAGGTGTTTCCCATTTGATTTGATCCCTCTGTTCCTTGCTGTTCGTTGTAAAAATGCTTCTTGATCAGTTTCTTTGGTTATTGGGGTCATTAGAGAGCTCTGAGGGTCTCATTACACATTTGTATACCTTTGTTTCTCACTATAGACTGGACTTACACCTGCTGCAATCCTCTTTCAGAGAATCTGTATTATCCAATTCCTTGATGTTATTAAATGCTTCTTTAAAAAAAAAAAAGTGTTTTCTTCTATTCTCTGCCACTTTTTTCTTACCTTTACATTCCTGATTTAGATCTGATGCCAGCTCCAGTTATCAGGCTAAGTTTACTGCAGCTTTTATTTTGAGAACCAAGAGAATCATCCTAGGAATCTAGAGAGAACTAAATTTTCTGTGTGAGTGACAGCAGCCACTTCTTTGCCAAGGCCTTTGAAGCTTGGGAAGGTGCTGAGCTGCTCAGGTCACTGGGCATGAGAGGCATTAAATGACATGTCCAGCACAGGGAGACTGAGGTCCAGTCTCACAGAGCAGTTCTCTTGGTGGATTGGTTTTGAAGCCTTCTTTGATATGATCAGACCAAGAGGAACTCTGGTATTACAATTTCAATTGCATTTCTTATTTTTAGGTGAAGCAAGTGAACAGCCTAGAGAACAACTGTCAGTGCTTGGGAAGGAGACTCCATCAACATAACTTGCTCAATGCTTCAGAAAATGAACATGTAATTGCTGGGCACCTCTTTTACTCAGTGGTCCATTTGGCAAAGATGTGGAGTTAATAAATAACCATCACTGTTTCCATGAAATACTTGGATTCTTGTCTAGTAAGTTCAAGGGTTCCTGCTGAGTTCCTTCCACTTGCCAAGGGACTGCTCTTGCTCAGAGCAGCAAAGATGCAGAAAGCTCTGCCAGCACAGGACTTCCAGTTTCCCTAAGGAGATCTCTGAGACGGGAGTGCAATAGTGAATGCACAGGGCTCCCTCCCTGTCCTGCAAAAGTAGGGATTCAGCTCACAAACAGGGGGTGCAGTGCATTTCCTTCCCCGGTTTCTGGCTGTTCTTTGAGACCACTTGCAGTGAAGAACCAGGACCAGCAGATGATGCCCCAGGGAAAGAGGGCTGGTGTGGATTCACAGGGACAAAGGGCTGTAATTCCTACACGGGGTGCTGTGTGCTGAGGTACCTTGGGCTGGGGTTGTGTGACTCCTGTCACTGTCACAGCTCTCTGTGCCTGCTGTGACAGTGGCACTGGTATCTTCTCCCTTATCTGCATGTCAGAGGATATCTGGTGCCAAGCCCTCAGAGATGACACTGTGCACTGGGCTTTGGTTTCTTTTTGACCCGACTGACCTGAAGCCTGCCCTGTAGACATGTTTTCCTTCTCTAACAGCAAGGTGATTTTCCAGGAGGAATCCCAGGCTGTTTCAGATGGCAGGGAAGGGTGAGCTCAGCACCCAGCCCAGCCAGCAGCAGCAGTGAAATGTCTGCTCCCACAGGCTGCTTTCAGTCCCTGTGAATCTGCAGAAGCCCCAGCTGAGTGAGACTGGAGCAGGTTTGTTTGGAACAGAGGCTCTCTGTGAAATCCCTGCTAAAAAGGCTGTGCTGAGAGCCAGGGTGGAAGAGGGCAGCGTGGTGAAAGGGTGAGCTGTGGGCTGGGAGGAAAGATTGCTGCCCACAGATCCAGCTGCAGTTTATGGCAGCCCAGGGCTGGGACTGCTGCTTGTCACTGCCTGGGGGACAGCTTGCACAGGCTGACAAAAAAAAAAAAGGTTGTTCTGTGTGCCAAAGACAGGGGCCAAGTCAAGGCAAAGATCTACTGGATCTGTGGAGATATCGGGGGTAGTAAGGAAGAGGGGAAAGGTGAGGGTCAAGCACTCTGAGGATCACTTCCCTGTTGTAACCATGTGTTGCATTTGCTTAGAGTTAAAACCTGCTTTGATAGTTTGATTTGCCCCATGCCACCCCAAAAAACCCCACCTAAAAGGAGTGAAGAAAGCAGCAGATTTTACCCTCTCTGTACCCTGTGCTTACAGGCCCTGAACTTACAACAGACCTGGGAGTCTTTGCATGGCCAGGTAGTGCCACGCTGGGGAGCAGAGCTCACATCCAGTCACTCACATCCCTGCTGCAGTACCCAGAGGGACATGGTGACTGCCCAGGTACTTCTGAGCAGGTTCCTGGGGAGTTTTTGGGAGTGTGATTGGCTTTTTCCATGTTTTCCCTACTGCACTGTACCACACATCAGCACTGGCTTGCCTGGTGTCAATGTTCAGGGACACTGCACTTTGAAAGTGAAAGTGAAAATCCAGTTACAGGTAATTAGACACTAATTACATCTAGTTAAATTTTAAAGAATGGAGGAACCAGTATCCTGCTCTTCCTCCAGGATTCAAGGGACTTTCTCCTCTCCTGGTCAGGGCTCTGGAAGGGGAGCTGAACGAGCTGGAGGCTGGAAAGGCTCCACAGGCACAGGGGGATGGGAAGAGGCATGAAGGCTTCCTTGGTCACAAACGTGTGTGGTGCTCACACTGTCTTCTTTAAGTGCTCCTGTCTTAGAGCCAATCTCTTAGAAATTGTTGCTCTTTTTACTTGTTAAGTAGAGATGTAGAATATAATTGGCTGTCTGGGTTGCAAGTTCAATTCTCACTTTGCTATGGTGGAAAAGGCTTTATTGTCCTGGTAAAGATTGGAATTATTTATTGTCTTGGCTTTGCAATGAAGTTAAAAAAGAAGGAAAAGCCTGAAAGTTTCAGGTAATGATGTTTCCTCGAATAGATCCTTTTAGCAACAAGATCAAAAGACCTTGTTGGGGTTCTACAGTTTTACTGTCAAATCCTCTTTCTCCTGCTGGTGATCTCATGTGGGCTGGTTTGTGGGTCAGGTCTGCCCTGGAAGGAAGCTGGGTGAGTGCTGGTTTTTGCTGAAGGAACTCCAGCTCCCTCTGCTTGGCAATTATTCACATTGTCATGATGCAGATAAAATCTGCTGGTTTGTGTGAAGGGCTTGTATAATAATTGAGGGTTTTCCTGAAGTAATGGAGCATCTCTCCTCTCCTTTCTCCTTAAAAAGCCAAGACCTTTGCATCTGCAGCCACCAGTCTAAGCCTGTGGGGGTCCTGACAAACTGAACTGATGGTAGCAAGCCCCTGCATTTCTGGGATGGGAGACAACTGCCTGACTTTGGCACTATGAAGAGCAAATTTGAGGCCCTTTTCTCAGTTGTCTTCAGAGGACAGGTAGGTGCTCCCCACAGACAACTTTCTACTGCTGCTCTGGGGGCTGGGGGTTGCTCAGCAGCAGAAAAACAGGGGTGGTTTAAGTGTGAAGAAACCCAAGGTGCCCCTCCCAGAGAAGTGGTTTCCCCCCCATTACCATCGTTGTGATACAAAGGCAAAAGCAAAACTGTGCTGACTTCTTTCAGTTGACAGCTCAAGTAACTGGCAGACAGCAGCCCAACCTGGGGCTTGGGACTCTTTCCTCAGGGCTTTAACTCATTGTTCAGACTGAGGGAGCAACTAAAAAGGCCTTTGAAAATGCTGTGGATGTTGTTTCTCCCAAATGCATCCCTCTTTCTCCTGCTTCTCCCATGCTTCCCTGCCCAGGATGGTACGTACAACATCGGTGCTCTTACATTTCTTACACTTCAATCTTTTCTTTCCTTTTTTCCAACCTTTTCCGAACTATGTTTGCCTTAGACATGCAACACTCCTTATTTAATTTTTCTTGCCTTGCTTCTGATGTAGCTTTTTCCAGGTGTTTCCCATTTGATCTCTCTATTCATTGCACAAATACTCCCCCTTCAGTTTCTTTGGATATTGGAGTCATTGGAGAGCTCCAAGGATTTCATGCCATATTGTATGCCTTTGTTTCCTAAATAGATTTGACCTACACCTTCTGCAGCCCTGTTCTTGTATTGAATCTGAGAATCTGTAGTATCCAGTTCCTTGATGTTATTAAAAACCCCTTTAAAAGGACAAGTGTATTTTCTTCCATTCTCTGCTTCTTTTTCTTACTTTTACATTCCTCATTTAGAACTGAAACCAGTTATCAGGGTACTCGTAGTGAAGTTTGTATTTTGAAAACTAATAGGATTTTCCTAAGAATCTACAGGGAGAACTGAATTTTCTGTGTGAGTGACAGCAGCCACTTCTTTGCCAAGGCCTTTGAAGCTTGGGAAGGTGCTGAGCTGCTCAGGTCACTGGGCATGAAAGGCACTACAGGTGCCAGAGCAGCCAAGAAATGACATGTCCAGCACAGGGAGACTGAGGTCCATTCTCACAGAGCAGTTCTGTTGGTGGAGGAGTTGGTTTTGAAAAGTACTTTAAAAAAATACTTTGATATGATCAGACCAAGAGGAACTCTGGTATTACAATTTCAATTGCATTTCTTATTTTTAGATGGAGGAAATGAACAGTCCACAGACGTTATCAGTGCTTGGGAAGGAGACTCCATCAACATAATTTGCCCAATGAATGGTTCACAATGTCAAGTGGAGATGGTCTTGAGAGCTAATAGACAGAGTCTCGAGGTGATATATTGTCCCAAGGAGAAACTTCCATCTGTCAATCCTGCCTTTGCTAATCGCACCGAGTGGTCAAAGGAAGGGGAGAATCTCAGGATAACCCTGCACAGGTTACAGGAATCTGATTCCGGAACCTACGTGTGCTGTGAGACGGTTGAAATCGATGGCAATCCCAAAGAGATATATAGGAAGAGAACCATAGTAGTGGTCAAAGGTATTGCAATTCTACCTTTTATGTCACAAATTAGTAAATGCAGATCTGTGTTTTAAATCAAAGATTAGAAGAGGACACAATGGGAGGGTGAGTCTGACAGAATCTTCTCCGTGTCTGCTCAGGCACAGATTTGAGGGAATGTGTGGGTTTGCTCCCTGAAATAATGAAGAAAACACATGAGGTAGTATGGTACCAAAAAACCCCAAACCATCCTAGAAGATTAATTTGTGACTCCTTAATTCCAGCTATAGATTTTCACATGAGTCACAGGTTGCTGCAGCAGTTTGGAAACAGTGAGGTCCCACAGCTCTTTCCAAAACAACCTGTTAAACATTTTAAACATCTAGCGCAGCAAGGAGGGGCTTTTTTGGTAGCAGTTGTTTTTACAAATCTCTTTTGTTTTTACTAATTTGTCTTAAATGACAAATTGGTAATAATTGGGAAGCTGGTCTTATGCAAGCTGGGCAAGATTGAGTAAAGGGTTTTTTCTCTTGTTATTGAGGAGTTGCCGAATGGGCAGAAGTGCTTCTTTTGGCAGGTGTTTCTGGTTGGACAAACCATTTTTCTGCCTTTATTATTTATTGTTTTTCATTAGAAGAGGGTTGAGTCCACACTGTTCTTTGGCAGTTTATTCCTCCATGTACCTGTCCTTCCAATGAGACCTTCTAACCTGAGACATCTTTCCCAAATCTTACATCTTAAATCTTTCTTCCTTTCCTGTCCCCCACGCATGTGAGATCTAATTGACTGCTAATCAGCAATAGTAATTTATATCCATGAAGGATTATCACCTCTTCCCTTGGGCTTCTCCTTTCAAACTTCTTGGCTGCGTTTTCTCAAATGCATCACATCTTGTTTATTGTGTATTGTCCCTCCAAATTATTTTATTAAGTTGATTTGTAGCTCTGTTTGATTCTGATCCTCTTCTCTGAAATGCTTACAATTTTCACTTTACAAACCTGATCAATTCTGTCCTCACTCCCTTATCCACTTTAATGATAATGTTCAAAGGAACAAGTCCTGTCCTCAGAGGAATGCAGTGGAATGTCTTCCCAGCTGAACAGTGAGTCATTAATGACCACTCCATTCTCATGGACCATTTTAACATTGATGGGACACACTCTGTGATTTGATCCAGACCAAGAGCCCTTAGGTCTCTCTGTGGCTTCATCTCACTTGAGAAAGCAGGCAATGATGCACGGCTCCAGGACGTGCTGATCAGGCTGGAGTCCCTTAGAGGAGGTCAGTATTTATCATTTTTTAGGTAGATGCAGACCTTTTATAAACAGCTAAACCTGTTGGTCAGTCCTCCTTTCAGATCCTGAGCCAAGGTGTAGTAAAATATATCCTTCTTCTCAGAGCCTGTGTAAAGCATGTTTAAAAATTCATTTTATCTACTTTTTTTTTTCTTTCTCTCTGCTTTGTCCCTTGCTGCCCAGTTAACATGCACTGTGTTAAGCATATGATAACAACTAATCTCTCTGGTTTTAGCTATGTCCAGAAGGCCTGTGGAGCAGTCACCACTCCATGCCAACCCTGAGCAAGGCCAGTCTGTCAGCATCACCTGTGTGTTGAAAAGCTCAGTTGAACATGAGTTCTTCTTGTTCAGGACTCACTTGCAGCCTCGTAAAGTTCTGTCTGTGTCAAATCTCAACGTGTCAAAGGTTTCTCCTGACTTTGGGAATCGCTTGGAGTATTCAAGGGAAGGAAGTAGAACTGTGGTGACTCTACACAAGCTACAGGAAAAGGACAGTGATAATTACGTCTGTGCCCAGGAGGTGAAGGGTTCCCCTCTGCTCACAGCGATTGGCACCATGGTGCTGGTTAAAGGTACCACCCTTTTGCTTGTTTAATCATAAATAACTATTGTTGTGTCATGGACAGAAAGCTTTTGGAACTTCAGTCAGGACAGGCAAACCTAGGAAAGTTTGGAGAGTGAGCTCAGGCTCCTTTTTGCCCTGTTGAGCTCAGACTCAGACTCTGTGTTTCCACCTGCCTTGTACAGCTAGAGGGGAATTCAGACCTTGCCATGATCCTGCAGCTTAGAAAAAGAAAAGAAAAAGGAGAAAACAAGGTAACAAACACTTCACTGTGTGCAATCTGTCACTTTTAAGGTATGAATAAGTACTTTCAGCACCAATTCTTTGCCCTTAGCATGACATAAATGGCTTTTAGAAAACATTCCCTCTATAAAGTCTTGTGTTTAAAAATAGATCACACTGGGGAGAACAAAAGTCCTCAGGCATTTGCTTCGAGCACCAGAGACCACAGCAGAGATGTTCTCGCATACCCTTGTTACACAGTGAGCACTCTGTGAGCATATGCTGCAAAGAGAGGGTTCCATTTTTCTGTGTTCCAAAGATGCGCTTTTAATTTTTCTGCAGGATGCTGAGGTACCCGTTTGCTAAACTGAAGTCAGAACCAGTAAGAGAGTGCTTGATTTTGGTCTTACTGGTGCAATTTAACCCTGTGCATTGGGCTTGCAGAGGCCTTTGTAAAATAAGGTTTGCAAAGGCCCTAAGGGTGGCAAAGGATTTTCCTGACATCTGCAAAGGCACCTGTGGTCCTGTTCTGTGCCACCACCCACAACTGGGGCAACAACTCAGTAAAGTGAGGTGAGGAAAATGACAGTAGCCCAACAAAGCAGGGGTGTGACTATTAATTAGTGTGTTATTCATAGATGGATTAATTGAGGTTTTAGAGAGCTGAAACCCTTTCCACCAGCATTATTCTGCTCAGAGCATTTCATACCACAGCAAACTCCTGCTTCTGTCTGTACCTCTCACCAGCCTGGCTCTTGGATAATTCAGAGCCCTCAGGGTTGCAGCAACACTGCAGGAAATAATTTTCTGCTCCCATTAGGAGTGTGTGGTCCTATCAGTGGTGTGAAACCTGCTTTTGTGGAGTGCTCCTTGCTGACCCACTGCAGCCACCCCCAGCCCCTGGAATAGCACAGGGAATGAATGCCAGTGAGAATGCTAATGGCATGACAAATGTGGCTCTGTAGCTGTTGATATCTGAATTTTTGGCTAAACTGTAAAATCATTTTTTTTCAGAATGAAAATAAAATTTTGTGAGAAATAGATTTGTAGAAAATCCTCAAAGCCTGACAGAAGACTCACATAGTCTTCATCTGTATGCAAACCTAGAGACAAGAAATGCTGAATTAGAAATGCCATGGAATGGGACAGACATTGTTGAGAGGGAAATGGAGCTAGAAACAAGTTTCAAAGGATGGCCTTGCAAATAAGACTGGATACTTTGGAGAAATAGAACTATGAAAGATGCATTGTGGTAGGACCCATAAGGGGTAGTTTTAGATTATTTGCTTTAAGGCATTTACAGCATGGTGTGGCAAAAGCTGATAGAAATAGTTTATAGTGTGTTGTAATTAAGAAATAGTTTGCTTCTGATTGTGATGGCGTGAATGAAAACATCTATATTGTGTCACCCTTCTCATGAGACTGAAAATGGGATAGAAGTTTAACACCTCTCAGTTATTCCACCTCTGGGTCAGAAAATAACTTAATCCGACAAAATTCTGCCTCTTTGTAATTATAACATTGCTGCTGTATTTTTAAATGCAGAGGCATGTGAGAAGAGCTCCTGGGAGTTTTATTGCCTTCTCGTGGTGGTGGCTCTGCTGTTCTGTGCCCTGGTGTGCTGCACCTTGTACCGTGTGGATGTAAGTACAGTCACCACAGCAAAACTGGGGCACTTTGGTGGAACAAACTGATATTATTTTGAAATAGTGCCTGAGTGAAGCAAACATCTGGTAAACCTAAGCACCTATTGCTCTCCTATTTGCCCTTGTTGAATATCTTCCAGCTGTAAACTCTTGGCAGCTAACACAGTGTCTTATACTTCTGTAACCCTTTGTAAATGAGGCATTAATTGTCTTTTGATAACAAACCTGGAGTGAGCTGTGTGGTTGACACAGACATGTGTTGTGTGTGTATTCCTGAACAAAGCTCCTCACTGTTCTGCTCCCCTTGTTTTTTAAATTTTTTTTTGTGAATTGGGCCTGAAGCTGTACATAGCAAGCTTGTAAGAGATGTAACTTGGAGGGGGACACAAAGGCAACAAAAATTCTTAAAATAGCCTGATGTCTGAAAGTTATGCTGGGAGGAAAAAAAATGGCCCCTTTCTAGAAGAAAAAATTATATTTTTTTCCTTCACTGGGATTATTTCTATACATATACTGCAGAAAGTGCCCAGAAATTGTCTCTGGTAGATCCTTCTGCTGCATAAATATTACTGAAAATGAAGTGTATGATTTACAGGCTCCTGTCTCATCCCTCTAAATGTGGCTCCAGCATTGCTAAAAACCAGTAGTGTAACATCATTCTGTCAAAGCCCAGGGGACCTCGTGTCCTGTGTTACCAGTAACAGTCTAAGAATGAGCCTTATTTATTATTATTGTAATTTATTATTTATGTCAAAGCTACGGTTACATCCAACTCTTGAAGGAGCTTTTCATAAAATTGCATCAGACTCATAAAAGAAAGTTAAATAAATAAGCTGATAATTTCCACTTGGTCCTCTAAGACCTCACTGGGTCGTGAGAGGAATTTTGAAAGTGTTTCCTCTTCCAACAGATGATGTAGATGGATTCCTAAGATGGAAAATGACTCCTTGGCTGGGGTCTTTCCAGGCTCTCGTTTGAATGGCTGTTTTCTTTGTTTGGCAGGTGAAGAAATATTTCCAGAAGAAAAAGCCCAATGTGGTATATGAAGACATGTCCTACAACTCCAGACGGAGCACCCTGGTCAGGAGCAACACCTATTCCAAAGGTGAATAAACTTCTGCCAGCTGGGACCATCCCCTCACTGGCAGCTCTGAGAGCTGCTTTATGAAATTGCTATCACCTTCTTTCCTCAGTGGAAGGAAAAACCTCATATCCAAGGCTGTTTCTGCTTTTTTTTTAATGTTTTTTTTTTTTTTTTTTGCAATGTACAGAAAATTTAGCAAAATGCGGGTACCTTGGACACGTGTATGCAATTCAGTGTGGAAAAGCAGCATTTCAGGGCTAAATGTGACATATGGGCTTGTTTCTTTCTTAAATAATCCATTCTGGGAAGGTGGGATGGATGGGAAGGTCTGATTCTGAGCTTTGCTAAGCCTCAGGAGGAGCACACGGGTCTGTTCAATACTTTGCCATGGATTCCAGTTCCCTCATGGATCCTTGCCCAAGAGCTCAGGCAGCTAAAATTACTCAAGAGTTACAGCAGGGAAATCTATTTTGAAGTTTTCAGAAACGTGGCAGGGTGAAATGCTGGATCCATGTGGGCTCACCTGCTCCAAGGTCCTGATGGTCCCACAGAAACACAATCAAGTCTAGATTTTAGTTGACTGCCTCTGTCAGAGCCACTCACATGGACTGATGGGGGTCTTGATGTGGCTGGTGAGCAAAGTGACTAAATGTGGGTCCTGGTGGCTTCTGGGTGTCTTGGTTTGAACAGACAGGTGTCTGCTAAGGAAGGCAGGGGTCTCCCTTGAAATGGAAAATGTAAACCCCCTCCCTCTGAATTATTATAATTTTTCATTCCAACCTGGGCATGATCTAAAGCCCCTTCTTATCAAAGGGATTTATCAAAACTCACCTCAGGCAAGAAGAGGCTAAGTTTGGGTTGGTAACAGCTTCTAGAACAGGTGCCTGTGGGGAGCTGGGCCGAGGAAGGGCTCAGCCTCCTCCAGGGCTGTTTTGGTTTTGCAGGGTTGGGGCCACTGTGAAAAGTCAAAAATCTTTCACAAAGGAATGCTGAATTGCCTTGGAACAGGGCAGGGCTGCTCGGGGTGGCCTCCTGTTGCTGAGGTCAGGCTGAGACTGGAGTTTCTCCCTATTGATGTGATTGTTTATTTTTTTTTTTTTTGAGGGATTAGGGTCGGTTTGTCTTTGATGAGTGCATAGCTGGAGCAGAGACAGGCACAAAGGATAATTCCTCTTCAGGGCTGAGCTCTGACAAGATCCCAGCTTGCTAAGACAATCCTGCCCCTCAGGAGGGCCCATTTCCCTCCAGATGTTATTGCTCATGAAATGCTGTGCACCAGACCTGAGGGAGAAACCCCCTCACTGTGAGGGGTGGGTGGTGCAGGTTCACCTTGTGAGCAAATAGGTGCTGTCTTCACATGGCCAGACCTATTTGTGTTTGTGCTTGTGTTGGGTTTTGTACAGTTTCTCGATATTTTCATACATATATTAAAAGCTGTTTCAAATATCTTGCAAATAAATGTTTCTTTTAGTAGTTTGTTGTGTTTTGGTTTTCTTTTTAAATAGTGATTCAAGGCTTTTTTGAAAATTCTGTATAAACTGCCCCTAACAGCATCCCACTAGACAGCATTATAACTGTTTTCCACTTTATTACAAAATCTGCAAGTGAGGGTTTTGGGTTTTTTAAACCGATCACTGAAGAAAACAGAAAAGAACCCTTCAGACCCTGTGTATTCCATGTCTCATTGCCCAAACTTTTCTTGAATTCTGCTTGGTGCTGGGACCAATTCTGGCTTTGTCCCTGGAAAAGCCCAGCTCAGGGGTGGGTGAAGAGCTGAGGAAGAACCAACAAATCCGGTACCAACCTAGGAACTGAGGTGCCCATAGTCAATCACCTTTCATCACATTTTCGTTTTTGGAACAAGGTGCAGGTTTAGTCAAAAAGGGGCAAAAGTCCTGAGAGCCAGCACAGGGAGGTTTACAATGAGCAGAGTGACATTTGAGATCAGCTTTCTGTAGAAACACTGCTGTGCAAACATAACCACAATAGTGAAGAAAAAAAAAAAGCTGTGAAAAGAAACAGTAGTGGAGGTGGTTTTTGGTTTGGTGTAAACTAATTAAAGTAAAAAAGAGAAGTAACACCTTTCTGAGGAAAATTACACACACTGAGCCATTTCAAGGTCTGCACTATTAACTCAAGAAGTGGTGAATGAACTGGTAGGGAATTTAGCTCCAGAGTGTCAGGGAATAATTGGGGATTTAATAAAATTAATTTTATTTTAAATAAAGAGGGCTGGAGCATTCTGAAGATGCAGAGTTGTCTCAGATCTACACTGGAAAGCAGAAAAACTGAAATTTTCACCCCCAGAGTTGCAGACAGAATTGCTCTGGGCTAATTCTTTTGCCTTTGAATCTTTTTCTGTCTTGTCTCAGCCTCTGGAGAAGGAAATGGTTTTCAGGGAGAGGTGGGAAATGCAGTTCTGAGGCTGGGATGGGCCCTGCAGCAGTGAGAACAGTATCAGGGTATTGGTGATGCCCCAGCCCCATCCATGGGATAAAAGACAGGAATTGCAGCTGGGAGCAAAGCAGGCCCAGGTGGGAAGCAGGGCTGCAGCTCCAGTGTCACAGTCTGTGGGATGGGGCAAGCCAAGGCAGCTGAGCAAGGACAGCAGGTCAGAAGCAGAGAAATCCCAACGGGCAAGGTACAAAGGGTGTCTGAAATGACTCAGGGGTCTGCAGGGAGTGACCTGGGCTGAGTGCTGGGGAGGGGAATACATCAAGAATACTTTTGGTTATTTGCAGAACTGAAGAAATCAGCCAGCAAGTGTGGATTAGTGCTAATGGAGCTGGTAGACCCAGGGAAATTAAGCTGGAAAAAGCATTTAAACCCCTTGACGCAGGTGTATGTGACAAGGACATGCCTGAACTCAGGTGCCAAGGAGCCTGATAAGCCCAGCTGAGCCACAAAATGTTTTGCAGGAGACAGGACAGAAGCAGGTTCTGCTCTGGTGGCTTGTGACATATTGCAGGACGCTGGAATGTCTCCAGTGGCTCCTGCAATCCAGTGTTTGTGTGCTCCCAGCAGCTGTGAGTGCTGCATGATCCATGTCTGAAGCCCATGCTGGGTTTGTGGTCTGGAGCCAGTTTCTCCCACCTGGCTCTTGCTGGTGACTCCTTTTCCATCCCAGAACTCACACAGGAGGCATCCTGTTACAGAATTCAGAGGATCTGACCAAAATATCCATCACTCCTGGCTCTGCTGAGGACAAGCTACTGACTGCTGATTTCTCAAGGTCCCTGTGTTAGTAAAAACCTGTTTCCACTCATGGTATGCAAGCTTTTGTAAGCAGTTGTTTCCCAAATAATTTAGTTTCTTTTTGAATACTTTGTAACCCTCAACTTGCATTATATTAGCAGTCAGCTTACAGTCAACTTGAAAACATGCAGGGTTTTTTTCTGGTTCACAGATTTGGTTTTCTCACAGCTTTGAGGTGCTGAAAATGCTTCATTGGTGCTATTTCTTTAATCTGACATATTTGGTTAATATGCTTCTGCACTAGCTAATGAGTTCTTTTACTGCTTGTATAAATTTAACAGTATTTATGTTGTTTTGCATGGTTTTTAACACTATTTCAATTCTTTCAGGAGTGACTGGTTACTGGCTTTGCGCAACATGCAAGAAATCTTTCCAATTTCATTTGGAGTCTCAACAGGTTTTAACCTACTTTTTAGAAAATCAATACATTACTTATCATACATTACTCTCTCATACAGCCAGAGCACTCTGCCTTGTCTACAAGAATCTCACTTTTTTTTTTCATTTAAGAAATGGAAATAAAGCAATCAACCTAAATACTGACTAAAGGAAATAAACCATTTTGTCCTAACACTAAAATTTTACAGTGTTGTCACAATCTATGTGGTACAAAGATTGTCTGTCCAATTGTGGGTGGGAGGTGACTCCACTCTGTGCAATTAACTGCTGGCAGGGCTCGTTGAACTCCCTGGATGGTGCTAATTCCTGTGTAACTACTTCACAAGAACCATTATTTTGCTTTTGACTGGTATTTGACTGCACCAGCTGACTGGCATGTGTCTGAAACTCTCCGTGGAGAACACATCCATGGCCCCAGAGCTTTCCAGCTGAGATATTAGAAATGCTCTGCTCCACTCCTGTGCTTTCTGTCTGTAATGGGAATAATGTCTAAACACTGCACATGCCAAGTGGAAGATGATCTCTCATTCCTTCTTCCTGAATTAGTATCAGTAATTAGTTATTAGTAACTCTCTAGGAAAGCCTTTAAGTTCATCCCTCTATGCAGTTCATGACACCCTGAGACATTTGGTTCACCTGCTCTTAGCAGAACCACACAAGTTGTAAAAGCTTATTCTGGGGCTGTCGTACAAGTGATGCTTTACCAATGGGAATAATTATTTCATCCTCAGATGATGGAATTTTATCACTCTGCTCTGGTAGGACAGATAAAAGCCACCCCACTTGGTTTGTGGGGTCTCTTTCCCCACATATTATTGCCTTACAGCTCAGGGCAAGTCTTCTAAGAAGTCACAATGGTCAGTTTACTGCTTGTGGTTTCCCCTTGTGTGTACAATTAGCTCTGCTCAGAGACAAGTGGCAGCAAGCTTGTGGGTGAGTGACATTAAAAGGCCCAATGCAGATATGACATTTTGCACAAATGCTAGTGATTTCTGAGAAATAAGATTATAGAAGAAACTCCGTAACATTGTTGTACATTTCTCTGTTACCCTCACTCTCAAACTTTCTAATGCTTGCAGTGGAAGCTTCTCTAGAAATTCTCCTCAAAGTGATGGCAGTTGGTGCCTAAACTCTAACAGCTTTTGGACTCAAAACCCTTTATTTAATTTTTTTAAAAACCCTGAACAGTTCAAGGTTTCAAAAAAGAAATCAAGCACGTGTGTGTACACACTGCAGGTAAAAAAATAAAAATCACAGTTCCTAGTGACTTTCAAGGCTAAAATTAGAAACAGTCCTTTCACACAGAGCACACACAGAGAGCCACGTGCTCCTTCTTGCAAGGGTGTTTTGGAAATAAAGTTGTAGCATGGAAAAATAGATCCTCATATTTCTGCCCTAGCCAAAAGAGGAAACAGGAGAATTCCTAGCAGAAACTCAAGAGAGTTTGAGTTTAGAGAAACTCAAATGAGCAGCCCAAACTGAGGCTTTGCAACTTTTAGACATGTCCAGGATTAGGAACCAGGAGGGATCCATCACTGAAAGGATGGCTGTTGTCCTCCTGGTGCTTTTGTGAGTAAATCTCACTGTGGTGGTCATGGTGAGCTTGCAAATTGTCTGAGTGGTCTTGGCTGGAGACAGAGAAGGGCACTTCTTCCAGTGCCTCTTATTCCATGGCAAGCCCTAATGCTCCGACCTGGGGACACCACTTGGGTGGAAAAAAAGAGAGGCAGAAATATCCATAATAAAAATAATTACATTCCTTTATAACATGTTTTCTGCAGCTGGCTTCTCTCAGGCTGCTCTCACATCTCAAGACAAAACCGTGGTTTTGCGGTGGAGACAGCGAAGGCTGCCTGCTGCAGGGGGGCCTGGGGTGTTATTTATGTTCAGAGGTGCTAAGGGGGGCTCTGCTCTGTGGTCTGGCCTGTCCCCATGCTGAGACACGGACCCGTAGCACGCTCTGGCAGGAGCCTGTGGTTGCTGTGTGCTCGGCAGGGCTGGGGCAGCGCTTCTGCAGAGCATCACCCCCGAGAGCAGCCTGGCTGTCACCTCGGAGCTGCCACCTGCCACAGCCTCGGGGTCGCTCGCTGTCATTGCCACTGTCACACCGTGCTCTGTGTTACAGCTGTGGCCCCCCGGTTCTCTCACTGTCACTGTCACACTGTGCTCTGTGCTGCAGCTGTGGCCCCCCGGTTCCCTCACTGTCACTGCCACTGTCACTGTCACTGTCACACCATGCTCGTTTCCCTCACTGTCACACTGTGCTCTGTGTTACTGATGCCTTTTTTGAGCTTTCCTAGAAACAGAGGCCAGACAAGATTAAGAGAATAAAAGCAGATTTATGTACTGAGAGGCCTTCTGGTACACTGAGGGCAGACAAAGCCTCCTGAAGGGGCTACACCCAAGATGGACTATGGTCACCAGTTTTTCAGATGGATATAAGTTTGGTCATTCACATATCAGGGTTAATTGTCCGATTACTGCTTCAGGTAATGAAGTAATATTTCCCCAGTTTGCTTCTCCCCAACTCACTTTTGTTTCTACTTTTCAGGAATAAAGAGAGAAAATCAAGAAGGATGGGACTTGGTGGGCTAAAGCTGTAATTGGACAATTAACAATATGCAAATGGAGCAGAACTGATAAAAGTGAGAGACCCCATGAGCGATTGTGCATTTTGTGACCATTTTGGTTCATCTTGGCTGGGCTCTTGTGCTGCCCAAGGTGGATCCATTGAGGCCTTTTAATAAATCCCTGCTTTATTCTTTAACTCTGTCCAGTCTCTGTTCTAGGTCAGCCTTTACAAGGCATCATGAAAGTGCTCTCAGCCAGTCCAGCAGGTGAAGGAGGGTATGTCACAACCTTTTGCAGCTCTGCTATGGTTTAGATGCACTTTGTACATCACCTGGCATCCACCCCAGGCAGCACTTTCTGTCTCTGTGGCTGCCCTTTGTCTAACAGGGGCCTAAATCAAGCCCCCGGGATAACTGTGGCCTTTTCATCTGCGTTGAAAGTCTTTAAATAAAAAGGCAGGCACATGCAATACCTCAAAAACTCAACTCTTCATTGTGAAGGTTTCCTTAATATTTGTGTTGGCAGTGTATTTCCTCAGGAGCAAGTTTAGTTTGTAAGAATTGGAAGCTGCATTTTTATTTTTTGGGCTCCTCCTCCCTGCTTTTGTGTCTTTTTTTTGTTGTTTCTTTTGCATGAAAACAGGATGTGTCTTCAAAAACCACAAGTATAACAAGTGTTAGCTCTGAGTTGCATCCATTTACTACATCAGATTGTGGTTAAATCTGCCTTTAGCACTGTCAAACAGCCTAGCCAATTGAGGGGAAAGGAGGAGAAGTGTTGTGATTCTGACACTCTTTTCAGCTAAAGAAAAAGGAAATACCAGTCTAAAAGAAGGAAATCCATACTTAATGCTCTGTGGCCTCAAATATCTTTTTTTTTTTTTACGTCAGTGAAAGCGCATTGAAAAGATTTTTAATGATGAATACTGCAGCAGGAGTTGGTGTTAATGTTCAACAGGAAAACATGTGACCACAGAGTGGTGTTTAATGGTGTAATAGTGTAAAGGCTTTTATTAATATCTGTTCCTATGCTTAGATTAGACACCACCTGCCACACCTCCAGGCATACCCATTAATGAGGGAGGGAACTTCGTGGATTGTTAAAAATGGGCCATTTTTGAGAATGAGAAAGACACAGACTGTTCCTAAAGGGTGGGAAGAAGCACCAGGAAGGATGTAAAAGCAGAGTCATGAGCTGTTGGAACCCTGGTCAGAATTTTAGACTTTCTGTGCTGACAGACTCTGACC